AAAAACAAACATACCAAAAGTGTATAACTGCCAGTATCACAATGACGACCAGCAGGGAAATACAAATAGTATTTAACTTTTTTCAGTCCATGCTCAAGTTCTTTAACTTCTTGCTTAAACTGAACGTCCAATGATTCTTCGAATTTTTCACCATATTTTAGCCATGTTATTTCCGGTAACGGATCAGCTGTAATGATAGCAGCAAGCTCAACTGGCGCATTCTTAAGAGATTGAACGTCTTTCAATGGTTCAATTAAAATTGGTTTACGATACTCAGCAACAGCTGCAATAGAGAAGAATTCTCATTTTATCTTCATGATAATTTATTATATTATTCAAGTTAATAAAAAAAACACTTACGCATCACGCTCAAATCGCATTGTTTGGATAGTTCGCCAAGTTTATTCTTTACCACTACTTTAAATGTTCCAGCATCTGTAAGTTTAACATCGGCAATTGATAATTTATATCGTAGTCCGTCTTCAGTAATGGTGTAATGATCGTTGGACTTAAGTGGTTTGTCATTGAGCGTCCATTCAACATCTAGTTTGGGTATGCCTTGAGCAATTATTTCAAATGAAACTGGTGTCGATTCGTATACACTTTGATCTTTAAGGTCATTGGCGAGTATTTCTGGTAAAGCTAAATATTTGCGTTTCAAAATGAAAATAATGAAAATCATTGTTAACTTATATATTTACGTCATATTTGTTATAAAGTGATATTAATTGGCTTCAGCAAATATTTATAGCAAATATTAAAACAAATCCATATTTACAGATTCAACCTTAGTCCTTAAAGTACTTACAGCCTTTGAAATACTACACACGCGAACAGTAACGGCCATTCCGTTAAGAGCAAGCACAAAATATAAATAAACATAATTTGGTTAGTATCAAACACCGTATAAATATTTTTTCATTTAAAAAAACTATTATAGTCATCTAATTGCTTGCTATTTACGATAATCATTTTTATGTGTTTTACAATATTTAGTAAAGTGAATATGGTTTTGGGTAAGATTGAGAATGATCGATGATATGATTTTGAATAATCTTTGCGCCTTTGGCCATTACTTAGAAAAAATTAGAAAAATAATAAAATTTTGCGCTGTAAATTAACCGCTCATTGATTTTTGAAAGCCAAAATCTTTAAGCCAGAAGCAAACGCCGCCTCGCAAGAGACAATTTTTTGCAATATACCTTCAGTATCAGAATCATTTCGAGCGGCCAATAAATTGTCGTAATTTTTTTCTTCGGGTAGTACTGAGACACTTAATTCACCACAACTTTCGGCACTGCCATGTTCGTTGATAGCAACCACCTTGAAGTTACCCTGATCGCTAGGGCAAACTTCGTGCAAAATAAGATAAGCGGTTCCATCAGGGTTCAATGATATGCGGGCTACACCATTTTTACTCTGTATTTCTTTGTCATTTCGGTACCATTTGAGATCTGGATTACCAGTAACCTTTACATTAAATTTAGCAGGAAAACCCTCATAAATTTGTAAATTACTTAATTCTTCCACAAAAGTTGGTTTTTCAGTGCGTATTGTTCGTTTGCTAGTATTTGGTGATACTAAGAGATTTGCATCTGATGATGCCTTTCCGTACTTATTCGTTGCTACTATTCTAATTCTGTTTTTGCCAATGTCGTCTGGAGACACACTATCTACTGTCAAAATACATGTACCGTTCGGCAATTGATCAATTTTAATGTAATCACTTGGTTGAATAATTTGTTCATTCCAAAACCATTCGATTTGTGTTTGGGGAGAGCCATTAATTAGAACCGCCTCAAACTTTGCTGTATCACCTTCAATCAGATATTGATCCTTTAGTGCAGATAAGAAAACTGGTTTCGATAAAACTGAAAGTGATCCTTCGCTTGCTGTAGTTCCCGATTGGTTGCTGGCTATGACTCGATATTCTCCAGCATCAGTAAATGTAGCTTCACTAATAGTAAGACCAACAGAACCATCTGGATTCTCGGAAATCTTAATGCGTCCCTTCTCGGGTAAAATTTCTTTGCCGTTGTGCAACCATTTTAAAGTAGGTTTTGGCACACCAGTAACAAAAACAGAAAATAACATTGTTGAGCCAATATCCACTTCGGCATCTTCAAGACCTTCTTCGAAATCTGGTTTTTCACCGTGCTGAAGAATGATATTACTTTTCGTTGAAACAGAAACTAATGCTTTCGATAGATCAGAGCCGTGCTCATTAATTGATTCGACAGCATATTCACCGCTATCACTGATGGCAGCCTTTGGAATTTCAAGTGAATATAAGCCATCTGGTCCTTGGGATATTTTTACAAAACGTCCATCTGGTACGATTTCACTTCCATTGAGGTACCACCTAACATCAGCACTTGGATAGGCTTTGATCTTAACTGATAGAACAATTGGTGAACCTTCGACCGTATCAACATCTTTCAAACCATCCACAATTTTTGGCTTCGAAAGAACTGTCAGAATAGCATTAGTAGTAGCCGTTCCATGTGAATTGTATGCAATTATTCGATATTCGCCAGCATCATTTTGAGATACATTGGCAATTGACAATGTACAAGTTCCATCTTGATCTTCTTTAATGCTTATTTCATTTGGTATATTTTCAAATTCTTTGCCATTGTGGAGAAATTTTAGTGTTGGCTGAGGGCTTCCAGCAACTTTGATGTCAAATTTAATCGGTTGATCTATTTCAACGCTACGATTATATAATCCACTAATGAATGCTGGCATATTTTCTTTATCATTTGAAATAACTGAAACAAATGCATTTGATGATGTTGTACCGAAATCGTTTTTTAAGACAATACGGTATTCACCACCATCATCTATTGTTGCTTCATTGATGTTCAGAGCAGCAATACCATTATCTTCTGTTAAAGTTTTATGTTGATCATCTGGTGTAATTTCTTGGCCATTGTGATACCAATTAATTGTTGGCTGTGGTGTTCCTTCGAATTTTATATCCAAAGCCAAAGTTGAATTTTGTTGAACTTCCAGATCTTTTAAATCTCCGGTAATTGATGGTTTTGCGACCACTGATAGCATTGCTTTTGAAGAACAAGAACCAAATTTATTGGTTGCAATCACTTGATATTGACCAGCATTTTCTGTCGTAACAGCATTTAAATAAAATACGGTAGTTCCGTCTGGATTCTCGGTTATACGTACCACACCACGTTGTGGAACAATCGGTTTATTTTTGTGAAGCCATTTCAACGTTGCTTCCGGTTTGGCAGCAATTTCAATCTCAAATCTAGCTGACGAACCCAAATGAGCCTGAGTATCTTCTAGCGGAACAATGAAAACTGGTGCTTCACCACGCTCTTCTTGTGGCTTTGGTGTTACTGATAAATGAGCCTGAGTCGTTTTCTTGCCGGCAACGTTTTTCGACGAAATTTCAACCCGATAATCACCGGCGTTACTCAATTTGGCCTCATTAATTGTCAATGTAGCCGTTCCATCTGGCGATTGTGTTACAACGATTGAATTTCCATCTGGAATTATATCTTCACCATCATGGGTCCATTTGAGTGTTGGTTCGGGATATGCTTCAAATCGAAGTTCAAACTTAATTTGTGAATTTTCTTCAACCTCAATATCCTTCAAACCCTTGATAATATCAGGTTTTGCAAATACATTTACTGTTCCAACTGATTCTACTGATCCAAAATTATTGGTTGCCACGACTGTGTATTTTCCAGATGTTTTTGGTGACACATCGTTCATAGCCAGTGTATGTGTTCCATCTGGATACTCTGATAATCGGATGTATCCGATCTGTGGTACTACAACTTCACCGTTGTGTAACCATTTGATTTTGGGTTCGGGAATTCCGCTAATCTGAACGCTCAGCTTAACAAGTGACCCGATCTCAGCATTAATGTCTTCCAAACATTTTAAAAATTCTGGTGCTTGACCTTTTTGTTTATCTTTCACAATTGAAACAGCAGCACTTGATGTTAGCGAACCGTACGCGTTCGTTGCAATTAGACTATATTCGCCAGCATCTGAAAGTTCTGCGTCATTTATTTTCAGTGTATGCGTTGTATCCGAATCGGAGACCAATTGATATCTCTCTCCATTGGTATTTATTGGTTTGCCATTGTGCAGCCATTGCAATTCTATTTGAGGCTTACCAGTAACTTCAACGGTCAATTCAATTGGTTCCCCTTCTTTTACGCGTTGGTCTGATAAATGAGATTGGAATGTCGGACGTACATCACGTTTTGAAACAACAGACAGTTTCGCACATGATTCAACAGTTCCAGCGCTGTTTTGCGCAACAACTCGATAGTCGCCATGATCAACTTTTGACACTTTTGGTATAGTCAAAGTTGCAATTCCATTTGAATTGTAATTGATTTTGGTGTAGTATCCATCGGATGTAATTTTACGCGAATTTTGGAAAAATTCGAGATTTGGGCGTGGATTCCCGATGACCTTTATTTCAAATTTAGCTTCCAAACCCTCCACAACTTCAATATCTTCCAATGCCTTTTCAAATTTAGGTTTCACAAGGACAGTTAACTCGGCTTCCGATTCCACAACTCCGTATTTATTCGAAGCGCATACTTTATATGTTCCCGAGTTGTAGGCCGTAACACTTCCTATGGCAAGTGCTGCCGTTCCATCTGTGTTTTTAACCAAAGTGATATTGTCATCATCTGAGTCTATTTCCTCATCGTTATGGTACCACTGAAGCCGTGGTTTGGGGTGTCCGGAAACTTTGACTTCAAAAGACACTGGAGAATTTTCAGGTGCGGCGCAAGAAATTAATTTCTTCGAAAATGATGGTTTAGATTCTGAATCGAGCACTTGAACATTAGCTTTGGAAGATGCTTCGCCATGTTCATTTTTGGCATATACCTTATACACAGAACTATCCGTAACTTGAGCGTTCTCGATCTTCAACTCAAC